TGCCAGCTCCTCGCTTCCCTCTCCACCACGTTTCCTCACCTACCAAATGTCGCCCGGCGAGACTTCCAAGTCACGACACACAAAAGCTGCAGTCGAGGACTGGCTACTGGCTCAAGGATGCGTGCGCGACACCGTCATAATAGCCCTTGGCGGTGGTGTCATTGGCGACATGATCGGCTACGTTGCAGCGACATACATGCGCGGCATCAAGTTTGTCAATGTCCCTACGACGCTTCTGTCAATGGTAGATTCGAGCATAGGCGGCAAGACGGCCATTGATGTGCCTGCGGGAAAAAACTTGATTGGCGCTTTCTGGCAGCCAGAGAGGATCTACATTGACCTGCGCTTTCTCGAGTCACTGCCTAAGCGCGAGGTCATCAACGGCATGGCTGAGGTCATCAAGACCGCCGCCATCTGGAACGAAGAGGAATTCACAACCCTCGAAGGCAATGCAAACGACATCCTCGCCGCCATCGACCAGAAGCCTGTAAATGGACGCAGGAACTTTGACGAAATAGCAGGCATCCTCAAGCGCATCGTGCTAGGCTCAATCCGAGTCAAGGCTGAAGTCGTTTCTGCAGATGAGCGAGAAGGCGGTTTGCGCAACCTGCTGAACTTTGGCCATTCCATCGGCCATGCTTATGAAGCCATTCTCACTCCTCAGATTCTCCACGGCGAGTGTGTTGCGATAGGAATGGTCAAGGAAGCCGAGTTGGCACGTTATCTTGGCGTCCTGGATCCTTCTGCAGTCGCGCGCTTGACCAAATGCATTGCAGGCTACGGACTGCCTACATCGCTGGCTGACAAGACTGTGCGAAAACGGTCAGCGAACAAGCCATGCCCAGTCGATGATCTCATCAAGATCATGGCTGTAGATAAGAAGAATGCTGGCAAAACTAAGAAAATCGTGCTTCTCTCAGGCATCGGGAGGACACACGAGAAAAAGGCTAGCTCTGTCGAGGACCGCGACATTAAGATCGCGCTCTCACCAAGCATATCAGTGCACCCTGGCGTCCCGTCCGACCTGAACGTGACATGTAGACCTCCTGGATCAAAGAGCATTTCCAACCGTGTCCTTGTACTTGCTGCGCTGGGAACTGGCTCATGCCGCATTACCAACCTGCTACACTCAGACGACACCCAGGTCATGTTGGATGCGCTTGCAAAAATGCAGGGCGCAACTTTTGCATGGGAAAATGACGGCAAGGAGCTGGTGGTGACCGGAAATGGCGGTAACCTCAAAGCATCAAGCAATGAACTCTACCTGGGAAACGCTGGTACAGCAGCGCGTTTCTTGACCTCAGTGACTGCACTTTGCCAGCCTACAGATGGCGTCGCCTCGACTATCGTCACTGGTAATGCTCGAATGAAAGAGCGACCCATTGGTCCTCTTGTCAAGTCGCTCCGCACTATGGGTGTTGAAATTGACTACCAGGAGAATGAAGGCAGCCTCCCGCTCCGAATCTCAGCCTGTGGCGGTTTCGGATCTGAGTCTTTCACAGGCGAAATCGAGCTTACCGCAAATGTGTCTTCACAATACGTCTCTTCAATCCTGTTGAGCGCCCCATACTCTAAGAAGCCAGTTACACTCCGCCTGGTTGGCGGTAAGGTCATCTCACAGCCTTACATCGACATGACAATTGCGATGATGGCTTCTTTCGGAGTGCAAGTTGAAAGATCCGAGAGCGACCCCAATACCTACCATATTCCCAACAAGCCATACACCAACCCATCAGAATATGAGGTTGAAAGTGATGCCAGCTCAGCTACTTACCCGCTCGCCATCGCAGCCATCACCGGCACCACGTGCACAGTTCCCAATATCGGTTCTGGCTCCCTGCAGGGTGACGCTCGATTCGCCGTCGAGGTCCTGAAGCCCATGGGTTGCACTGTTGAACAGTCCAAGACATCGACAACTGTCACCGGCCCACCACGCGGCGAACTCAAGGCTGTCAAGGAAATTGACATGGAGCCAATGACAGATGCATTCCTTACAGCGTCTGTTCTAGCTGCGGTAGCATCTTCAAACGGCTCTAGTGTCACGACTCGCATTTATGGTATCGCGAACCAGCGTGTCAAGGAATGCAATCGCATCCAAGCCATGGAAGACGAGCTGGCAAAATTCGGCGTGACTTGCAGACAGTTTGACGATGGTATTGAGGTTGATGGAACAGCCTACCAGCTAGATGCCCCCAAGGTTGGCATTCACTGCTATGATGATCATCGTGTTGCCATGAGCTTCGCCGTTCTCTCGTTAGTTGCTCCTGCACCTGTTCTCATTCTCGAAAAAGAGTGCACAGGAAAGACATGGCCAGGGTACTGGGACAGCCTGAACCAGGTCTTCAAGGCCAAGCTTGAGGGTGTAGAGCTGGCGCCAAAGACCAGCACACGCAAGGCTGCGTCAAGGGTCTATCAGCGATCCATCTTCGTCATTGGCATGCGGGGCGCTGGCAAGACAACCATGGGTAGCTGGGCAGCACGCGCTCTTGGATGGCCTTTAATTGATTTGGACACCGCTCTTGAAGAACATGTCGGTATGACCATTCCTGAACTCATCAAAGAGCAAGGCTGGGAAGGCTTCCGAAGCGAAGAGCTTAAGCTTTTAGAGAGAGTTGGTAAGGAGAAGCCCAACGGACATGTTTTCGCTTGTGGTGGGGGGATAGTTGAGACACCAGCAGCTCGCAAGCTACTCATCGACTACCACAAGAGCGGCGGTATCGTCCTTCTGATCTCACGAGACATTAACAAGGTCATCGCTTTTCTTCAGATTGACAAGACAAGGCCGGCATACGTTGACGACATCATGGGCGTCTGGCTTCGACGTAAGGGTTGGTACGAAGAATGCAGCAACTACCGCTTTCATAGCCAGGTTGCCGGGCTGAACGATGTCCCTCAAGCACAGGCAGAGATTGGACGTTTCCTGAACATAATCACAGGCAGGGTGTCAGTGTTGGAGGGGTTCAAGAAGAGAAAGCACTCTTTCTTTGTCTGCCTTTCTGCGCCGCGACTCGAGCCTTGGATCAAGACGCTATCTGCAATCGTAGTCGGTTCAGATGCTGTCGAGCTGAGGATTGATTTGCTTGAGGATCCAGAAGGTCAACCAGGCCTACCAACACCAGACTTTGTCATTGAACAACTCACCATCCTACGCACCGTCACTTCGATTCCAGTCATCTTTACTTTGAGAACACAGGCACAGGGTGGTAAATTCCCAGACCAAGCATATGACGAAGCTCTGACACTTTATCGAACGGCATTGCGACTGGGGTGTGAGTTTGTTGACCTGGAGTTGACTATGCCCGAACATGTGTTGCAGGAAATATCGGAGAATCGCGGTTTCTCAGAGATCATCGCAAGTCATCATGATCCGAAGGGTCAACTGAACTGGAAAAACGGCTCTTGGATATCACAGTACAACCGTGCCCTCCAGTACGGCACTGTCATCAAGCTGGTCGGTGTCGCCAAGTCGCTGGAAGACAATTTTGCGCTTGCCGAGTTCAAGAGCTGGGCGCAAACAGCCCATCCTACGCCTTTAATTGCCATAAACATGGGAGAAAAGGGCAAGATGAGCAGGATATTGAATGGTTTCATGACTCCCGTCTCGCATCCACTGCTTCCTTCTGCAACTGCACCAGGACAGCTTTCAGCGGTAGACATCCGTCGTGGCCTTTCGTTGATGGGTGAAATTCCGACAAAGCAGTTTTACATTTTCGGTTCTCCCATTGCGCAAAGTCCCAGCCCCCGTCTGCACAACACTCTCTTCCGTGAGACTGGACTGCCTCATATCTACGGCCGCCACGAGACCACAGACGTAAACTCGTTCCGCGACATCATCCGCACACCGGATTTTGGCGGTGCCAGTGTCACTATTCCTCTGAAGCAGGACGTCATTCCTCTGCTTGACGGAGTCGGCCCAGAGGTAGAAGTAATCGGCGCCGTCAACACCATCGTTCCCGAAGTCTCCATCGATGAAACCACTGGGAAGGAGGTAACTCGGCTCATTGGTCGTAACACAGACTACCTAGGCATGGTTCTCATCCTGCGCAACGCCGGCGCCCAAGGAAGCGGCTCTGCCCTCGTCATTGGCGGTGGCGGCACAAGCCGCGCAGCCATTTACGCCCTGAAGGAAATGGGTTATAGCCCCATCTACCTTCTCGGCCGCAACCCCTCCAAGATGGAAGTCCTCAAGAACGCCTTTTCCGCAGAGTACAATGTCCACGTCTTGAACTCGCCAGAAGATGTCGCTGCTCTCGACGCCGCGCCTCAGGCCGCTATCGGTACCATTCCCGCTGACCAGCCCATCGACATTGCCATCCGCGAGACGCTGTGCTCGTTGTTTGAAAAGGGTAAGGCGTCGGTTAGGGATATCGACGTGGGGGGTGAGAGGATTCTGCTTGAAATGGCGTATAAGCCATCTGTCACCGCGCTTATCCAGCTTGCTATGGACAACGGGTGGAAGACAGTGAATGGTCTGGAGGTTTTGGTTGGACAAGGTGTGAATCAGTTTGAGTACTGGACCGGCGTAAGGCCGTTGTATGAGGTTGCGAGGGTAAATTCTGTGGTTGTTTGATTGTGTTGATGAATAAGGGCTGACGCGAAACAGGATGCTGTTATAAATCAGACGGATTGAGTGGGGTGCTTGACGAAGTTTTCGGGTGACGATGGGGAGTAGGATTATCGATGTACTGATGATATTGTTTTCTAACATGCTCAACCATAAAAAGTTACTACGACACTCACGAATAAAACGGTTACATTCTACATGTTTGACGAACACATCTAAACATGATGTTCTCTATATATACAGTACGCCCACCTACTAAAGAATATTTATACAAGTGAAAAGCGTAAACACCATCCCCCTTAATATCCCAATATACCACTTCACACCAAACTAATATCCAAAACTAATATCTAACCCCCCCAACCCCAAAACACCTATTTATACAAAGTCCCCAAACTCCCCCCTATCGAAAAGAAAAAGAAAAGAAACAATATCTTCAACCCCTCGTACCCCGTACCTTCCTCGCCTCCAACAAATCCCTAACCCGATTTCCCCCCGCCGTAACCACAACCCCCCTCGCCGCGTCCTCTGCAATCTTCTCGTCAATCGCCTTGTCGAGACTATGCAGGATAGTCTTGCTGGGCGTACGGAGGGCGTTTCGATCAGTGTCTTGCGGTGCGAGATACGGTTGCGCGCGCGATTGGCCCGGCGCTGAAGCAGGGTTGAGAGAAGAAGGAGCGGGTACAGGAATGAAGAGTGCGGCGGGACGGCGTTGGCGACGCCTTGGCCGCGTGGGCGATGCAGTTGACGGTATGGAAGGGATGCGCGGGGGTGTGGGAGCAGGAAGGAAGAGTGTGGTGGGTGGAGTTGATTCGGGTGTTGTTGATTTGCTCACTTCGAGTTTCTCTTCCATTGTCGTATCATCTATTGCTTCCCTTTCACTCTTCACGGGTGAGCGGCTGGGTAGCGTCATGGCCCCTCCTCCATTGTCTGGGCGCGTAGATGATAACGGTAATTTTCTGGGGGATACCAGGGAGAGAGGACGCGGGGGCTTCGGGGTCGTCCGGGGGTTTTGTTTTAGAGGGGTCGAGCCGAGGTGGAGGGATAAGGGGCGTTTGGAGGGTTGAGGAGGGGTGGCGAAGGGGCTAGAGAGTTTCCAGGGGGAGGTGGCGGGGAGACGCGGAGTGGGTTGCTTTGTTGAGGTGCGGGTGAGGCGGGGGAGGGTGGAGGCGGTTTTTATGGGGGTGGTGGTGGTGGTTGTCGATTTGGTGGGCTTGTGGGATAGGGTGCCTGCTGGGCCTTTTGTCTTGTGAGGACTTGTGGTTTTGAGGCTTAGGGAGTCGGTTGTGAGGGGATGAGCGTCTTTTGGCTGGTTTGAGAAGTAGCCGCTGGATTGACATCGTGGTATTGTGGATTTGCTGGGGAGCTTTGTCGAGGCTATTTTGTTTGGAGAGTTTGTCTTGATTCTTGGTAGGGACGACATGTTATAGTTGAACTTTTTGGGTGTTGCGGACTTTCCATTCATGTCCAAGCTACTTGTGTCTTGTCGGTCTCTAATGGATTCGCTGCTCGGAATCGGTAGCAACTCGCTCAAGTTGACAGGTGCGCAAAGTGTCGGGGTGGGGATACTCGAAGAAGTCGTCTTTGCGTTATCCGTTTCTTTCTCCAATTCCATTGATATGTCGAGACTCGGCTCTACGTGCTCGTCCGGGCCAGCAGTTTGTGTCTCGGAGTTCTCTGAATTATCCTCGTTTGCATCATTCCACTCAATTTGCTTCCCCGAATCCGCCCTTGTGTCGCGTTGTCGTTTCGTGTTCGGAAAATACGACGACGAATACTGAGATGTCTGTGATTCTTGTATCTTGTAGGTGAAACAATCCATGCCAGACTCTGATAGGAGTTGAGTGGGCTGCACTTCAGGTGACATGTTGACAATCTGCTCCAGCCCCTGCAAAGGCAGAATCGAAGACAACTCCTTCTCAAAGTTGAGTCTTGCAGCAACATCCGGTACACATGGAGCACCATCTTCCGGGATCCTCTCATAAGAACCTGACCCCACCAGTTGAAGCTTCTCAGAGGCCTTGCGTAGCGGCGTAGGCGTAGGCGAAGCAAGATTCCTTTCTACGCCTGGAGAAAATGGCCAGTCGAAAGCCGGACTGTTATTATTGCTTCCTCGGTTTGCCGTGTTATCACCAATGTTTCTCGGCTGCAAGTTCACCGGCTGTCGTGTTTTCTTGATTGGCGTAAAGTATTCGCTCGGATTGGGGATAGCTCGTCTGACGGGTATCGCTGCTGAATCGTCGTCCATGGTAGCGTCTGCTAGACACCCTGAGAGCATCCGGAGCAAGTGATTGGGATGTGATACTAGATTTCTGGCCAGATCCGGGCTCATATCAACAGATGAGGTGGGCGAGTCTAGCTCAATCGTGCGCTTCACTGGACTGCAAGGCCGTTCGTGCTTGGGTGTTTCCGGTCTTCCGTCTTTCAAAGGGGTCTCTAATAAGGACTTATCAGAACCCTGCTTTCTGGCGCTTCGGTTTTTCTTGAGACTCGACGGCTTTTTTGTTGGAGATCCGGTTCGAAATTCGTGCCTCGGGGCGGTGGCTTTTGGTGGCGTACTGACAGCGACTCTCGCGGGGCTCGGCTTCATGGTGATCATCATTTTCAGGGGACTGGTTGACCGAACTTTCGTGGGCGTCGTCACTTCTTTTGTGTTCTCCGCCGTACTGTCCCTGACCCCAGTTGCATCCTTCTTTGGCGAGGTCCTACTAGATGAACAATTCATTGGAGGGCGAAAGATGTTTTTCCCTACTTCCAAATTGGCTGGTAGTGGGTTGTTTCGAACTCTAACAACAATCCTGCGCCCTCCAGTAGGCGTCCGAGGCTGTGGTGTTGCAGACATTGTCGTTTCACGTAGGAGCCGTTCGCGAACCAGAGGTGACCTTAGACTCGACGTCGCGGGTCGGACGCGCTTTTGAGGTGAGGAATGCGCACTGTTCTCCGCGGCCAACGGGTCTGTGTTCTCATCTGGTGCGGGGTCTGCTATCGATATTGGTGCTGTAATCGAGGCCATAGCTGCTCTTGTTGGGATGACCCCCAGAGCAGAGGTTCATATCAATAGGAACGGCCACCAAGCGGTCTGTTTTTCAGCTAGACTGAGCATAGACTGTCAGTGAGTCCAAAGGGTGACTTTGACAGAGTGATCGGATGGGTTCGAGGGTTCAGCAAACGGCTGTGGCGCTTGTTTGGCCTCAACATGTGTAACAAGCAAACATAGACCCACTTGCGTCACCGTGGAACAAGGGAACCTATGCACGAACTATTGTTTCGGCATTCGAGAATAAACAAACATGTCCTGAGAACTGATAGATTTGATTTCTACGTGGGAATAAGCACTCATTCGTCTATATACGCTCAACATTGGACACGTAGGGTGATCACTCAACCATGACATCTTGTCCTTGGCCTGCTCCCTGCGTTTATAGCTTTTCCTTCAAACTCGACTTGAGCCTTCGTTCTACCGCATCCAAGTACTCGTTGGTTGTGACCCAGCTAGCCCTGTCCTTCTTTCCGCACGCTAGCGCTAGATCCTTGGTCATGATCTTGTCAACATCGACCGTGTCGATGCAAGCTTTCTCGAGCGTCTCGGCAAAGACGACAAGTTCAGGGGTGTTGTCGAGCTCGCCACGCTTGGCCAGACCTTGCGTCCAGGCAAAGATGGAGGCAATGGGGTTAGTAGATGTCTCTTTGCCCTTTTGGTGCTCGCGGTAGTGGCGGGTAACGGTACCGTGTGCGGCCTCAGCCTCGAACGTCTTGCCGTCTGGAGTGATGAGTGTGGAAGTCATGAGACCAAGAGAGCCGAAACCCTGAGCGACAATGTCTGACTGGACGTCTCCATCGTAGTCTGGGGGGGTTATTAGCAGACATCCCAGGGTCATGCAGGGCAAATACGTACTCTTCATGGCAATAACGTAGCCACCCTCGCTCTTGATCATCTGAGCGACCATGTCGTCAATCAGACGGTGCTCGTACCAGATGTTGGCGGCCTCAAAATCCTTCTTGTACTGTGTGTCGTAGATTTCCTGGAAGACATCCTTGAACTTTCCGTCGTAGGCCTTGAGAATGGTGTTCTTGGTGCTCATGTACAGAGGCAGCTTCTTGTCGAGCGCCATCTTAAACGAGGCATGTGCGAAGCCCGAGATGGACTCGGTTGTGTTGTACTGGGTCTGGGCGACGCCGCCTTCGGCAGGGAAGTCGTAGACCTTGATCACCTCGGGCTTGCCGCCCTTTGGTGTGAAGACCATTTCCAGGGTTCCCTCACCGGGAATGACACGGTCCTTGGCGCGATACTGGTCGCCGAAAGCGTGGCGGCCAATGATGATGGGCTGCTTCCATCCAGGGACGAGACGAGGGATGGTGGGGATAACAATGGGTGCGCGGAAGACGGTTCCTCCTCTAATGTGCTGTCAGCGAGTTATGAGCAATTGGTTGCAAGCATGTGACTTACAGATGGTTTCGAATGGTGCCATTGGGCGACAACCACATCTTCTTGAGCTTGAACTCTTCTACACGCTGCTCGTCTGGGGTAATGGTTGCGCACTTGACACCAACCGAGTACTTTTTGATAGCCTCGGCGGCGTCGAGCGTGACTTGGTCGTCGGTCTCATCTCGGTATGGCAGACCCAGGTCGTAGTACTTGAGGTCAATGTCAAGGTAAGGGTGGATAAACTGTAGTGGTAAGTATGGTGGGTGCGCATTTTGATTTTCCGCGGTGTTGGTGGTACCTTGTCCTTGATGACCTGCCAGATGATCCTGGTCATCTCATCACCGTCGAGCTCCACGACGGGGTTCTTGACCTTGATCTTCTTGACCGGGGAAGACGACGCCATTCTGTGCTGTGCGGCGAGAGTGTATAGGCTGGTGGGCGTTGTTCTGGCAGTGACTGTTGCTGGTCGTCGCGGGCTCAAAAGTTGGGCCGATGTCGCAGGCGAGTGAGAAGCTAAACAGCGAGTTGCAAAAGCACAAGTCTGGCGACGGGAGAGATGCGCAATTGAAGATGCATGGCGGATAGCCGCGGGGGCAGCAATTGCCGGCCTCATTGCGAATAATGTGTAGGACAATAAGATAGCCTCGGAAATGCAGCTGCCAGCGCGTTTCAGAAGGTGGTGTTTTCCGGCCGCGGTCTCGAATGGGCAGTCAGAAGGGCGACGATGTTCGGCTGATGGGACGAGCAGCTTCTTACTTAGTCGAAGAGTCGCCTAGCGGGATAACCAGAGCCGAGGGCCACAGCAAGCCGTCCTGAACTCGTCGCAATAGGCGCAGAGCCCGCTTACATAGTGCCTGGACACCTGAGGCCCCACGGCTAATACCCCTCTTGCTTGCTGCTCTGTCGCATTGCCATTGCGCGTTTTTGATTGCCGTTGCGCGCGGCATGTCATTCACTGTCGCATGTCACGCGGGGTACATGAAGCTTGGTATGACGTGTGCGGGTGGACGCGGGACTGGGACCGACATGTGATGGTTGTATATATGTATGTATGTTAGCAGCAGTAGTAATGTAGTAGTAGTAGTAGTGGATGAACTAGAAAAATCGCTCCTAGCACGTATCTGTCATGTGCATACCAAAAAAGACCCTTCTCCGCATAATGCGGGGGCATCGCTGTGGTATAAGTATGTACGTTCGCATGTATGCACATACACGGCTTGCCTGGTGCCCTGCATCCGGAACCCCTCATACCGTTGGCGGGCGGATAAAGCCGAGTAACCCAATCCGACTACTCTTCGTACGCTTCGGTGCCGCAGTGAAGGACCATGGCAGCCAGGCGAACACGTCTTTTTCCTGTCTCCATGTGATACATATTGAACAAGTAGAGTGAAAAGACATTATACTAGTACTGGAATAAGATTGTATTACATTACCGTCCCATCTCTACTATTACTACTACTACTACTACTACTACTACTACTACTACTGGTACAACTACTGCTGCTTCAAAAAGAATATCCACAAAAGAAAAGGGGTATCTTTAACATTAGCATCACATTCGTCACGCCCGGGAAGCATCCTCCCGCATTCATTCCATCATCCGCGATCGTGCCTTTGCATCCGTCGCATCCCTCCCTTTGTCCGCCGTCACTTCCCCGCCGCTAATTCCCGGGCTATCCTTGCGCCCACCCTCGTCATTCGTCTTCGTGGTCGAGTAACTCGGTACCGGACTGTTTGGCCTCCGAAACAAGCTCGTCACACTATTCGCGCTTGTCCGCTTCGAGGAAACAGTAATATGCGCCATAGACGGCGACGAGATGGGGCGGCCATCAATGTAGAAGCCACCGTTTCCATCTTGTATAATGGTCTGTGGAACAGCCATGAAGTTGTTGCTTTGTCGAACGTGATTATACGAAACTGGTCGCGCGTCCAGTTTATCGACTAGGCCTGATTCCAGGTCGAAAACCTTGACGCCATCATCAGTGCTACGCAAAACTACTGGCGCAAAGTCCTGAAGCCCAATTGCTTCGTCCATCAAATCTGATCTGGCGTCATCAGATTGGTGGCTGTTCTTGGGTGGAACGACCTCGATCGACGACATCACCAGACTCGCGCTTCGTCGCGTTCGGCTTGGGTTGGTGCTAGTAGCATAAGTGCGATTGGTCGTGCCCATCTGTTGGTTCAGTAGCTGTGTTGTTGTGCGGCCTCTTGCTGTGCGAGCCGAATGATAAGTCCACGCTGGAGGAGACACGTCAAACTGCCCAACCTCAAAGAATTCCTTCAAAACATTCCATGTAAAGGGTAAATTGGCCACCAGGATCGCGGTTGACGACTCCCGGACATACCATGAGATCCACGTCGCCTTGTAGGGATTGGTAAAGGAAGAGTAGGCGTTTGCGATACTAGCAATCACGACAAAGAGTCCCAGAGAGAAGATGCCGCATAGGATGATCTTCCTCCTCATCGGTAGTAGCGATCGCACAAGCATCGGCAGCGAGATGAAAAGCATGCTCAAGTCCGAAGATATACTGAAGACTGCTTTCGTGATGCGGTGGTTAACTAGCGTCGTGCACTGCAGCGAGCTGGTTGGCACCGCGTAGTATGCGGAAAATGGACGACACCAAGCCGAAAAGTAGAGAACCTCTATGACGACAAACCCAATCGCGGTATACACGGCCAGAACCTTGATCGCAATGTTCTCATAGTGCAGCGCCGTCCGTGTTATGCGGTGGTACATGATCAAAAGACAGGCCTTGCATGACCAGAGCACTGCAAGCTGCATCTGCTCTACCACAATTACCAACTTACTTCCATACACCCGTCTCGATAACTCTTCAGGGCTGAGGACGCCAAAGTCAAATCCCGGGGGTTCCAGGTTCGAGTCGACTTTCAACCATTTGTTGGAATACACGAGCAAGACGGTGTAGGCGGCCGTGACAAAGAGGCCCATGATGTAGTCATCGAATTGGAGCCCTTTGATGGATCGAAAGAGGATTTTTCGAGAGATACTGATGCATATCGGTCAGCCATTGCATATCAGTATTGTGACGTGTTGTGCGGGTTGCGATTAAATATAGATCGACGACGCTAGGAAAGCAACTCCGAAGCCCTTAGTATGTCGGCGTATCCGGGCAGAAGCCACCCCCCAGCCATGCTGCTAATCCGGAAAGTTTATTTGCGTTTTCTCGGACATTTGTTCAGTGTCCCGTGACCACCACGTACCCCAACATGATGAACTGGAAAAAAACCACTTACAGCCTCGCTCCGATCATGCAAACTGCGCATGTGTACCAGATCCATGATTCCTGGTTGAACGGCAATGTCATCGTCGGCTTGGAAAAGGGCGCTTCAAGTCGCTGAGCGCAAATAGTATATCGCTATCCGCCGGGTTGTTTGAACGTAGGAGGACGTATTGGTTGTCGTGAGGTCATAGTGGGCTCCGGTTCGACAAGTAGTGCATCGCATGTACTACAAATATTCTTGTAGTCGGCGCAAAGAACAGCTGGTAAGAGAGTGATGCTATGACGCAAGGTTCCGGACAAAACAATAAAAAAGAAAGACAGATAGAGAGAGACAGACAGACAGACAGACAGAGGAGAGGTGGGAGGTAAAGCAAGTGCTGACGACTGGCACATGTAAAAGCGCGGTGAGGGGCTTAGGCCTTATAGCATATGACTGCATGGCAAGTAGTGGATTACTCGATTTGATCGTGGTAGGGGAAACCTTACAGCCACTCGTATGCTCACCCATGGCTTATCTGGATCACCTTTGCAAACACGCCAGAAGTTCGGAAATCTTGGTGGGGGATTGCCGTGGATTAACTTCCGACAAGCCTTGGAACCAATCACAGACGCGCAGCCGTGCCAATATCCCGCTCATTTCTTTTATGCGCCTCTTGGCTCCTCCCGCCCATATCCTCCACTCCGCATCCACGCTGTTTTGAAACTCGCTAGGTCGACGCGATTGGCTTGCTCCAAAACTATGCCATACCTGCAAGGCCCCCACAATTGGCGTGATGCTGGCTGACTCGAATCGATCCCGCAGTCAAGTCATGGATGGCGTGGCAGTGGCAGTGGCAGTGGCAGTGGCAGTGGCAGCGACAGCATTGGAGCCCGCAGTCTGGGCTGAGGCGGCTGCGCCCGCGACAACGCTACAACAGCCTGATATCTGCACCGCTGCCTGCGGCGCAAAGGTAAAAAAAAATAGCCAGCATTGGTCCGGTTCAGTCCACACGCTTACCAGGATGTCGGCATGACAACGAATGTGTATCGGAACGTGGCGGGATTTTTGGCTTTCCCAACCTGAAGCCTGTGAAAGGAGGTCGTCGTCCCATCTGCCGCTATCCTCCTTCAACCTGCCTTCGGGCCGTTTCTCACAACCCGCGCAATGCCATTCCCTCGCACAATAGGCGCACCTGCTAACGTTTTTCCGGTTTCAGACACTACCTTTACGCAGATCGCACCGGCTTGTCCTGGTGCTCCCACGTCCTCCCCTGTCCCCTTTTGTCCCATACATACCACCCCACTGCTACATTGTGCTTACACTTCTGGATTTGAAAGAATAGGCCTGGGCTAGGCCGCAGAAACCTTCTCCGCAGGAATGGTAGCCTTGTCGGCCAATATTGTTCCAACACAAGCGACATGCAACTTTTTGCCAACCAAGGCAATCCTGCGACAAGGATGAACACAGCTGAATACGCCTCCAAAGCTGCCCAACCATAACCTACGCCGTGACTTGTGCACACAACGTTGCGCACCCGAAATGGCGTTTTTCTTTTCTTTTCAGGCCACCCACAGATCGACATGGAATACAACAAAATAAAATGCTCCAACTTGGACCCGGCCCGGCTGCATCAAAAAAGAGAAAGAGAGACCCAGTTCCTGTGCGCGCTTTCTGCTCCAATACAGAAATTATGAGGCATTCTATTAGTGAGGCAATGATAGTCGACCACATTGTCCCGACTCATGGGGCGACCGCGCAGATCACAAGGCTGCAATCGCAATCTCTCCAGACTCTAACTTCCTAACGGACACGCTGCACGTACCCAGACGTAAGGGTCCAACTAGCTTGCACGTTGTCAAAGTTTAAGTTTTTTTTGGTGGGAGCCTTTTTAGTTTCTAGCCACCGTACGTGAGGTGGAATAACGTTTGCAACACCATCTCTCTCATTTATAACAGCCGAGTCATTGTATCGGATAGTTATCGCCTCAGTGACTCCTGTTTCATCGTTCGGAATTCGCAATTTGGTAAGAGGGACGTTGTATGACGTATGCTTTATTTTCTATCAGAAAGTAGATTTGTACCTATGGAACTAACACCTTGCCGGAATACCTTCATATTAGACAAAAAAACTCACGCCACACAGAGTATGCAGAAGCAGAGACCTGTCAAAACGCCCCCATCTCACCCTCTCATCACCCATAGCAAAAGCCGGACGTTAAAATCTCTCATATCAAATTTCAGCATCATATATCCCTAAAATAAAACTTAGTCATCCCTAAGCACCTTCTTTCCTCGTTCTACCCACCCTTCCACCTCATCCCCTCCAACCTCCCCTTCCAGCCACGCCCGTCCCTTCTCACCCACAAGTTCCCAGCTCCCCCTCAACCCCTCCAACCTCTCTTCAAACAATGCAATCACAATCGCAGTTGCGACTACCTTCTCATCCGCCCCCTCTCCCTCCATCTTCGCTCGCACGCCAGCCTCGTCCAAACCAAGGACACCGAGTAACCCTGGTGTAAGCGACCACGACCCTTCGAAAGACTGCAGCGAGATGAGATGGTGAAGAAGCGATTCACCGCTCAAAGAGGAAGGAAGCTGTGGGTCTGATGTCGCTCCCGCTGTGCCGGAGCCGTTTTCTTGTCTGGCCATGACAAGCCTTTTCTTATTCTGTTGTTCTAGGAGCATGAGAGAGGATTGGTAGTCTCTCAACGATGTACTACCTGTAGCCGGTGGTGCTGGGGCGCCGAACAGCGAAGTGCCAGAGTTAGGTTGACTCTGGGCGGGTGCTGGTGCAGGGGCGCCGAATAGAGCACTACCGCTGCTGCTGGGACTTCTGGTACCGAAGATAGATGAGTGACCTGGTGGAGGAGGTGGTGGTACTGCGCCGACAGGGCCAGAGTGATTTAGGCCAGGGGCGGAGAAGAGAGATGAGCCGATTTGAGGGGCTTTTGGGGGTGCTCCGAAGGGAGAGCCTCCGAAGAGACCGCCGCCAGTCGAACTGGGAGCCCCAAAAGAGCTGGAAGCCTGAAAACCAGCACCACCAAGTGCATTGGCAGACCCAAACAGACCACCACCGCCCATTGAGTTGGACCCCCCAAATGCAGTCACACTACTCGTATTACTTCCAAAAGAAATCGCACCCATCGGCGGCCCAGACTGCCCCAAAGCCGGCAAACTCATACCCTGATATATCGGCCCTCCTCCTCCAAAAAAGATCGGATTCCCCTGCAGTGACGGCGCACTAGGCATACCTCTAAACAAACTTTGCTGTTTCTGCCCTTGACCCTGCGGCACAGTATCCACCTTATCATCCATCCACTGCCACCCCTCTGCCTGCCTTCTCTGCTTCTCCGCCTCCTCTTTATTCGATTCAACAGCAACAAACGAACACCACTTTCCTCCCACCTGAAACTGTACCCCTAGCCTGACTGCTTCGCGCTCGACCATATCGTCATACCGTCCCTCGCACGTCTTCTTCACCAAAGCGCCAGACGCGTCAGTGGCTTCGGCGAGCCATCCCCGGCCTTGTTCTAGCTCCGCAATCGCCTTTTTAGCGGCGAGCTGGTGGATTGCTTCGCCAGGCTGGGCGAGGGGTTGGATCGGGATGGTGAGTTCGAGGGGGCCTTGGGGGCTTGTGCCCCGGAGCGTCAGGGATATGGGTGTGCCTTGTGGGGCCGAGGGGCCGAGGAGGAGGTAGAGGGATGTGCGGTGGAAAGGGTAGAGGGAGGGGATTGTTTGGGGGGCTTGGATGATGTTGGGGACGGGGAGTGTGGGGAGGTGGGCGTAGCGGGATTGGCCTGTCGAGTCGTCCGAGAGTGGTTCTTCTGCGTCTGGGTCGGCGTTGAGGTCAAACAGGGAGATTGGTGTTTTGTTCTGTTTTTTATATCGTTAGTTGGTGGGGTGGGGTGGGGGGGGATGATTTACAGTTGATTTTGACTCAGCTTTGTCGTCTTCTTTGAGATCGAGTTTGATCTTAAGACTATCAGATACTTTTTCCACAATTTCGAAGTCATCTTCTGGCTCCACATCGAGGTGAGCGGAGATTTCATCGTTGTTGTACTTGACCTCCAGAGTATAATCGTTGATATGTGGGGATAATGCTCCCTTGAGCATTCGTACAACCTTCGTATTCATCGGCTCGTTCTCGCCAACCGATTGCGAAAACCCGTTTCCTGCTTTGGCTATACCTTCAATCAGCGCATGCGAAACGCCATTTCCAACGCCCAATGTAAAGACCCGGATCGGAGCCTTGGTCGCTTGAATAGCCTCGTTGAGACATGAGAAGATGCGATCCTGGCCCCAATCCTCACCATCCGTGAGCAGCATGATATCAAGATCCATATCCTTGTACCTTCGCTCAATCGTCGCTTGCAGCGGCTGCAGCATCTCCGTGCCGCCATAGTTCGCCGCGAAAGAACCTACATGATTCATTGCCTCCTCAAGCGTCTGCTGGTTGTAACTCGCGCTTTTTTCCCAAAGAAACGAGTACGACGAGCCGAACGAGCAGATGTTGAACTTGACGCCAACGGGAAGCGACTTCAGAAATACTTTCAAGGCTTGTTTCGCAAGCTCGATTCTGGTGAGCTGCATGCTTCCGCTGCGATCACACACAAAGACGATCTCGGGGCGCGCAGGGGGAAGAGCAAACTTCGGCACTAGCGTTGCCATTACTGCTCTGTGGTTCGGAATCCTCGGATTGGTTTCAAGGATGGCTTTGGGCATGCCGGTGTGTTTGGCAATGACTTGCAAGACAAAATCCTTGTCTAGTTCTGCGGTGGCAAGGGCGAGAGTCGCTGATGCCTTTGTCATTGCGGGATCGGCATTTACTGCAGTGGAAGTAGTGCCCATTGACACTGAAATGGGGTGTGTGGGCGACTGGATCTTCTGGATGAAAGATCCATCCGCCATGTCGACATCGACAGTAATCGAAATGCTTCTACTCATCGCATCCGTGGCGGAGCTTCTGCACAAGGTACCTGGGTAGTCGCCATATCGCGGGCATATGATGTTTGGGATTGTGAATCTGATGCCATCGACTTCCATGTCGTGCTTGAGTTCGCCTAGATATGTGATAGTGATGATGACTTTTGCGCCAGGAGGGATGTTGCCCACAGTCGTGGTGAAGACGTCGGAGGCATCTGGGAGTTGCTCAAATAATCCGGCCGTCTCGCCTTTGGAGACTGCGTCTTGGAATACAGCTCTTGCCTTTTCTCGCTCCTTGACTTCACCAACTATCTTCCGCCCCCCGACATGACAGGTAAAGCGTACTACACTGACGCCATCGTAGAGCGGAAAAGTGTAACGGCACTCTTTGATTGCCTTTTCTGTCGATGGATTGGCAAAAGTCTGTGTGAGTACGGTTTTAGAGGTAGTTGCAAGGATGGTGGCTTTTGCTTCGAGTTTGACTTGTGGAACGAAGTGCTTCTTGGTGTTCCATTCATCAGATCGGACAAGGTAGTATAGGCCACAAATGTGAGTCGGACCAAACAAGCTAGTAGACATTTTGAGTGCGACCCGAAGTACAGCAAGCCTCAGAAGTTGGGGGAATTTATGAAGATAATCTTGGCAGGTCACAAATTCTACAGCAATGCAGTGGGCTCACTGGGGGAAAGGCAAATCCTTCAACACGGGCGTTTCGTCAGTAGAAATAGGAAAATGGGGAATGATGTTTGGGAGGATTGAAGAGTGTATGTGGTATGAGATGTGAGTTGAGAATGCAAAGCTGAGGGCTTGTCGAGATTTAAATATTTTCTTAGGAGGCTGTGCCTGAGTGCTGCCTGAGTGTTGCCTGCGGGCTGTCTGGTCTAGATGGCTGCCTAGGACTACAAACCCGGCCTAGTACGTGCCACGACTCGCGCAACAAGCACAATGCCACACATCTGTCCAATGAATGCGATGCAATTGTAGCAAGAAGTGAGGCCCAAACAGGTGAGTGATGATGGTGGTTGCCGGACTGAATGCTTTTTCAGGGACGGACGGCTCTGTTGAGCCGCAGGGCATCATGCACGCATCGGACGTGCTCGAATGACCTCAATCAAGCCGTGAAGCGCACAAGAGGCGGCCCTGATACTATCAATCCATTCGAGTATAGGAATTCTCAACGTCTGGAGTGACATCAGATGACCTGTGAGATGAGGCTGAACGTGGGGTCGCCGATCAGGCCATGCCTTGTTCGGCTACAAGCACTGGACCCTGAACGTCAGGCTGCATGCCAAAAATTATGACTGTCATCCACCATGCCACCAAACAATGCGCGGGCCAGTCACCCACACCTTTCCGGAGTTTCACCGTTCACTGCATAAACTGTCCTGTGCCCAGCGCGGCTTTCACAAACTTTCCAGGGTGCCGCGACGCGTTCTATTTCGGGAATCGCACGGGAGAAAAGGAAAGATGGCGGGGTATGAAGAGTGGTCCCAGCAGCAATTGATTGCAAGAATACAAGAGTTGGAAAAGCAATTAGGTACAAGTGGTTCTGAAGCATCTACGATACAAAATTCAGCAGCATCTGTTGTAGCTGCCGACGAACAGACTTCATTACCCACAGATGCCCCTCAATCATTAGAAGTTCGCAAGGCAGTCAAACCGCCACCAAAAGTATTTGACGCTTCCAAATATAGCACGCGTCTAATCGCACTCAAATTTGCATATCTCGGCCAAAAGTACAATGGGTTTGAGCATCACAAAAATAATTCAACACCACTGCCAACAATAGAGGAAGAGCTATGGAAAGCATTGGTAAAGACGCGTTTAATAACCCCAGCCTCCACAGGCCAGGATGAGAAGGCATATGAAAGAATTGATAAAAAGACGTTCGCAAATTGGGATAGAGAAGGCGCAGATGTCAATTGGGATGGCTGCGAGTATTCAAAATGCGGAAGGACAGACAGGGGAGTAAGCGCTTTTGGACAGGTCATTGGTGTTAGGGTCCGGAGTAACAAGCCTTTACCAAGGAAAGCTCAGCCATCAGAAGATATTCCACAAACAGATCAGGAAGATGAGGACTCGATAATGTCTTCGAAACGAGAGCCCGAGTCTCCACCAAAGCCCTTCAACGACCTCACGGACGAACTCGCTTACATTCAATTACTAAACCGCGTCCTCCCGCCTGATATCCGCGTATATGCCTGGTGTCCAAACCCACCACCAGACTTCAGTGCGCGCTTCTGTTGCAAAGAGCGACGATACAGGTACTTCTTCACCAACCCCTGTTTCGCCCCCGTACCCGGATCCTCAGGTCTCTACAAACCCAACACCTCTGCATCCTCCGAACCCAAGCCCAAGATGCGCGAAGGCTGGCTCGACATCGCCGCAATGAAACAAGGCTGCCAACACCTCATCGGCCTACACGACTTCCGCAACTTCTGCAAAATAGACGCAAGCAAACAAATCTCAAACTTCCACCGCCGCATCTTCCACGCAGACATCGAAGAAGTCTCCCCGCTATCCCTCCCAGCCTTCCTCTCCCACCCAGCCTTGCAAACTCCAGATGGCACAGACAAAGAAAACCAACCAAAACTCTACTCCTTCACCCTCCACGGCTCCGCCTTCCTCTGGCACCAAGTCCGCTCCTTAGTCGCAATCTTATTCCTCATCGGCCAGGGTCTCGAGTCCCCAGCCTTAATCCCCGCCTTACTCGACATATCCGCCAACCCCACACGTCCAAAATATGAAATGGCAAGCGACGCCCCACTTGTACTGTGGGACTGCATTTTCCCGCACCCAGACGAAGTCCAGAGCTCTGAGGAGCGAGAGCACGGGTATGAAGATAGGCTCGATTGGATCTATGTGGGCGATGAGGGCGGGGATGAACCGAAAGCCAAGGGAACGGCGAAAAAAGGAGGGCCTGCGAGTATTGGGAGGGGCAAGTGGGGGAGAGGCGGTGTGGTGGATGATGTGTGGGAAGTTTGGAGGGGACATAAGATTGAAGAGACGCTTTCTGCGCTTTTGCTGGATAAGATTGCGGGACTCGGGAAGTCGACACTGGATGCCGAGGTGGCTGTTGGAGAGCAGAATGTGGGGATTGCGAGGGGTGGGCCGCGGGTGTTTGATGGTGGCGATTTTGGGAGGGCCAAGGGGAATTATACGGAGGTGCTGAAGAGGGAGAGGCAGGATGCCGTTGAGGTGGTTAATGAGAGGTATAGGGTTCGGAAGGGGATTGTGGATGCGGAGAAGATGAAGACAAAGGAGGAGGATGCGGATGAGTAGGTTGATCATCATACCAGCTCCATTGTTTGAAAGATTTCGGACTTTGAAATTCCGTCAAGTTACTATCACCAAATCTTTTATGTTATTCCAGTCGCGGAATCTGCCCTGAAGATCCCCCAACTCAAAAAAAAAAGAAACCTCTCTTCGAATCTGGGTATCATGTATCCAAATATATCCTCCATCTTCCATCTTTTTCCAAAAAATCCCCCCCCCCCTTTTTTTTCTTCTTGGAAGCCGTCTCAAACGCAGATTTGCAAAACTTTCATTTCCCCGTACCCAACAGCACAGCAAGTACTTCTAATCACCAGTGTTAAGCTCCAAATCAATCTGCACACCATTACTAATAGCATAATCCGCACACGTCAAATTATCATGGAACGGCCTCTCTCCCTGCCTCTTAAGCATAATCTCATGGACCGGTCGCCCAATCTTTGCCGCCACCATGGCTTTCAGCAGCTTGATGGGATCGCTAGGTAGGCAAGGGACTTGAGTCTTTGTGCCCAGACGGTCATTTATCGTGACGAGAATCATGGGCTCAGAAGGCGTCAAGGCAGCCGGGACGGGTTTCTTGTTTTCCTTGGTCGTAGTCGTGGAGGAAGCGTCGCGCGGCTTGCGGTCTCTTGGGGAGCGAGAGCGGCGCCGACGGTGCTGGTCGCGGCTGGAGTCTCGGTGGCGGTGATGAGAGGAGCGCTCGTCGTTGTCGCGGTAGCGGTTATTGCGATCGGAGTCGCGCGCTCGGCGGTCACGGTCGTCGTCGCGCCTTCTGTCGTTGTCTGAATCTCTTGGTCGCCTTTCTCGGTCTCTGTCATCGCGCCGTCTGTCTGGATCGCGCCGCTCACGGTCGCCTTTGTACTTGAGACCGCTGAAGTTTTTGGGTTTGCGAGGAGCTGGGGAGCGCCTTGGGGAGCGCGACCGATCACGGTCAGTTTGTCTTGAGGAATCCATAGTCTTGCTTTGTTTTTATAGCAGAATGGTGTGCGGGTGCTGATTTTTACTCAGTTCGTGGTGTGGAGGTTTGGTGAGGCAAGTGCGATGTTGGTGTAGAAAGTAGAGTGGGTTGTAAAAGGAAGGGCGGGATATGTATTGGGACAGAATGCTCCCATAGATCAGGTACCAAACTCAGAATAGAGAAATGGTCTTATCGATAAGTCCACTCAACCAAGCGCGTCATTCCGCTTGTCTGTCCCCTACCGTCTCTTTTTCTCCCCCCACATCCCGCTTTGGGGCTCATATCGCTTGGTACTCTCCTGATGACGCTACGTATATAGCAGCTAGTTCACAATGTCAAGCTTCCTGCACAGCCTCACTTCTCCACCCGCCCAAACACTGCATGTGCTGCAGCCTACGCCTGCCACACTCACATACACGGTCTCGACGCGTTCTGTGTCCAAGACACTCCCGGCGCATGTAGGATACTATGTAGGAATACTTGTCCGAATATTCTTTGGATTGACAAGTGGACTGCTACTATGGATGAAATGGCAAATTACAAATAAGCAACCAATGCTCCTCTTGCAGTTCGCATTGGGCAGTGAAGGAGAAGGGCAACTAGTAAAACTGGTGGAGACATTCCAATGGCGATATCTTATTCCGAGTGCGCTTCTTACTCTGTTCTTAGTTTTTCGAAGAAACTATACTGGTACGCCGTCTCTGTCCTTTCCTTTCTCATCAACTCAATACATTCGTTGCTTAACAACAAATTGCTAAAACTGTCTCTAGAGGAATCCCTAACCGTGCTTCGTGGCCTCGGCGTCCAAACTTCAACCACCTCCTCGACGTACCTCCAAACACCCACAACGCGCTTCATTCCCACGACCAATATTCAGGACATCTTCATACACGAGGCGTTCAAGGGCTTCGAGGTCAGATTCTACCTCATGATTGTGGTAGAAGGCGAGGACGAGGTGGTCGTCGTATTCCCAACATTGTTGCCAAGGAGGGAAGTACTCGAAGTCGTATGGAGAGGGGTGAGAGGAGGACTGTGGGAGCAAGGATGGTCAAAGCCAAAGATCGAGGTGACGGAAAGCAACGAAAAGGTAGAAATATGAAGCCGTGTACGGCATTGCTCTCGTGATCTTGTCGTAATCGTCATCTTCATTTGTCTTGGAAAGTGTGGAAAAAAAATTCTGAGAGAAAGGATGAGCAAAGGTTCTCATGACAGTGCCTATTGTCTCATAGCCATACCTTGAGTCCTGCGAAGCGACCATACATCAAAAGCAACAGATGTTGCCAACGCCACACTCCAAATGCATCCGCATTACTGCGCGTGCAGGTCCCTCTCCTATAAGAATAACGGC